AATCCATAGTTGCTCCGTTCTTCTTCTAACTCAAGTCTGAGTCCGAAGAAGCTCTGGGTAGATTTTTTACTCCAAATTTGGTCTGGACAGCGCCGTTAGGTTACTCATTTCGATTTTCAACTGCCAAGGGATTTTTTTTTACGTGCGCAACAATGCACACGGGCGTCCGATCTCACTACCCAGAAAACCAAGGGGAATTACTAGAAGTCCACGTGAAAAAAATCCCAGCCCTTACCAGGTACTGAACCTGGAACATCTAGCACTCGAGGCGGACACCATGCCCTGTGACCACGCGGTCCCCACACGTGCACTGAAAAACAGAATATGTTTGCATTAAAAAATTCCCTGCCTAGTGGATTCCTGGACCAATTTGTGATTGGCGCTGGGGTGGGGGGGGGGGGGGGTGAGGGGGGTGTAGACGTAGTGTCCCTTCATTAAGGGTTTGCTGATATTATATATGGTGTGCTGAAATGCGTAGATACTGCAGCCTAGCTGTACACCACAACAGAGTGTACCTTTTAAACCAGGGCAAGTGTCCAGTGCTTTAAGCTGGTCATCGGAGTCAAATAGCGGATTTGTTTAATTCCACGTCGCTGACAAATCGGGGATATTGTGCTAACCCCACAATTTTTGTAACCAGCCAGCTTTCAGTAAGCGATGTGGTGAAAATTACACTGGCCACCCATACTTCCCAGGACATTTCCTATTACTTATGATATTCTGAGTCAACCTGGCGGTTCTAGGTTTATTATAAAAATATGTATTGCCACTGATTTGAAAACAAATATCGGGGCTTGTTAGGCAAGTGTCTTTGAAGTGGTTGTACACTTTTTTTCTTCAGATTGCACCCCTTGCAAATATTTTTCTCCCCTCCTCTTCCAGACTTTTACAATAAAATGTGATTAAAAAAAAACAAACAGATTATTACAAGTACAATTGAAGACAATTTAGTATAACAGATTATTACAAGAACAAATGAAGACAATTTTGTATAACAGATTATTACAAGTACAAATGAAGACAATTTTGTATAACAGATTATTACAAGTTCAATTGAAGACAATTTAATATAACAGATTATTACAAGTACCAATAAAGACAATTTTGTATAATAGATTATTACAAGTACCAATAAAGACAATTTTGTATAACAGATTATTACAAGTACCAATAAAGACAATTAAGTATAACAGATTATTACAAGTACAAATGAAGACAATTTTGTATAACAGATTATTACAAGTACAAATGAAGACAATTTTGTATAACAGATTATTACAAGTACCAATAAAGACAATTTTGTATAACAGATTATTACAAGTACCAATAAAGACAATTTAGTATAGCAGATTATTACAAGAACAAATGAAGAAAATTTTGTATAACAGATTATTACAAGTTCAATTGAAGACAATTTAATATAACAGATTATTACAAGTACCAATAAAGACAATTTTGTATAACAGATTATTACAAGAACAAATAAAGACAATTTTGTATAACAGATTATTACAAGAACAAATGAAGACAATTTTGTATAACAGATTATTACAAGTACCAATAAAGACAATTTTGTATAACAGATTATTACAAGTACCAATAAAGACAATTTTGTATAACAGATTATTACAAGTACCAATAAAGACAATTTTGTATAACAGATTATTACAAGTACAAATGAAGACAATTTTGTATAACAAGTACAAATGATTGAGGTTCTTCTTGAAACTTCTCTCTGCTCTTTGGGGGAGGGTATGGAAAAGGGGAGGGGGGAGGAGGGGTGACCTCCAGGCTGAAAACCACTGATCTAGCCACCAGGCTCCTGTATATATCCAATGTTGTAGTAGTAATTAATAGTAGATTTTTTTTGAGGTAATATTGGTTTCATCTCCTGTTTGAAAAATAAATTAATTTTTTAATTTCACTTTTTTTCCATTTTAGGCAGTACGGAGCTTGGTGACCCACACTTTGGGGCCGAGGAACCCAGTTTCACCAAGCACAGTGACCCAGATATGGACCCTCTGAACCCTTTCTCAACCCAGCATACTTCCATATCCAGTATGGAAAACAACCTCTCAGGTCAAGGGCAAGTAGGATTAACCCACTACCATGGAGAGAGTCATGACGGACGTCCTACTGTAGCTGCAGTCGTGTACGGCCATGACGATCCAGGGGACTTTACCCATGAAGATGAAGAAGCTAGAAATAAGATCTTTCTGGATTCTGACCAGCCTGGAGACGGGTCGTTTTCTTCTGCTTCACAAATTGGCCGAGGAGATGAAGTTGATGAGACGGTGCACAAGAATATTGATTCGAATCCATTTTCTTTGGAAGATGACAACCCAGATGTGGCTATTCCTAGTAAGCATTGTGTGAGCGTTACCAGACCTGGAGTAGGATATAATCCTTTCTTAAGTGATGAGCAGGAAGGTGAAATAGATGAGGAGGATGACCATACGGATAATTCCCAAGAACACAGTGATGGATTTCCAGATCCTGGCTTAAACGAATCAATGGGAACAGTTGGGAGAGGTGATGAAAGAGGAGTTAACCACACTTACAATCTGCTTGAAGAAGATGAAGATGAGGAAATGGATATTCAGATGGAACCAGTTGAGAACATTGAATATGCTCATGATGAAGATGACGAGCAGAGAGCACATGTTGCTAATGAACCTCAAGTCCTTAATGATTATAGATTTATAGGACACATGGAAGAGGACATTTCTCAGGGCCCTTCATCAAAGTATGCCGAGAATTTGTCCCTGGTCTCAACTACAGAACATGCGAGGGAAATAACTGACCTGACCGTATCAGAACATGTTAAGGACGGGCTTGATGCTTCTTCAAGTGGGAATACCGAAGATGGGTCTCGGCGGGCTTCTGCAGAACTTGTGAATGATACGTTTCAAGATTCATTCATGGCAGATGATCTTGAACCATCACCAGCTTCTTTAGCAGGGCATGTTGGTGAAATGTTGGTTGTTATCTCAGCAGAACATACTGTGGACATGACAAAGATGGCTTCAATTGAACATGACGAAGAACTTCCACAGATGAAGTCATCAGAATTAGCTAAGGATATTTCTCAGATAATTTCAGCGGGACATGAGGATGAGGACATGTTTCAGCCTTCTGTGAAAGAGAGTTTTGATGATGTGTTTCAGTTTGCCTCAACTCATATTGTTGATGACAAATCCCAAGTTTCTTCAAAGGTACATGCTGAGGATATCTCCTCTTTCACTAGAGAGACTGATACATTTTCACAGATGCCTTCAGGGGTACACTTTGAGGAGACATCCAAAATCTTCCAAACTGAACATGATGATCAGACATCTGAGATTGTTTCTTCAAGTGTTGCTGCAGAAACAACCTCTTGTCTCTTCAAGAAACATGATGATGACTATCTTGTTAAGTCTTCAGAAGGTCATGCTGAAGAAATGCCTGATTATCCTTTAGCAGGTTTTCATGAAGACAGTACCATAGTTTCTACAGAAAAATACGTTGATATGTCGGAAATTTCTTGCGGATTTATTACAGAAATGCCTGAATGTTCACCAGCAAATGATCATGATGATACACCTCAGTTCTCTGTGGAACCAAATGTAGAGATTATATCTCATGTTCCTTCTGGGGATATCATTGAGGATATTCCTCAGTTTTCTTCAGCAGAACATGCAGAGAACATGTCTGAATTGTTAACGGCCAGAGATGTTGAGAGCACTCACATTTCATCAGGACAATTTAATGAAGACACTACTCATCTTTCATCAGTAGGACATACTGAGAAAATGTCTGAGGTGTCTTCTGGAGGATATGAGGAGGATGTGTCTCATATTCCTCCAGTTGAACATGCTGAAAATCTGACTATGACAATCGACCTGAAAGACATGACTCAAACTCCTTCAAAAGCTCTCGAAGAGGACATTTGTCCTGTGTCTGCGATGAAAGATGCTGAGGACATAATACAGTGTCATTCACCAAAATACCTTGATGATCTTTCACATATTATATCAACAGTAAGCTCTCAAGTTCCTCCATCTTATGCAGATGAAAGCACCTATTCTGAAGAAACATCAGCTGCTTTACAACAGATGGAGTCGATTGAAGACACAAGTAATCTTGCTTCTCATCATACTGTTCCTGAAGAAAGTGTCCAAGAAACAGCTGCTTTACGGCAGGGGGAGTTGATTGAAGACATGAGTATTCTTGCTTCTCATTATACTGTTCCTGAAGAAAGTACCCAAGAAACATCAGCTGCTTTACAACAGATGGAGTCGATTGAAGACACAAGTAATCTTGCTTCTCATCATACTGTTCCTGAAGAAAGTATCCAAGAAACAGCTGCTTTACGGCAGGGGGAGTTGATTGAAGACATGAGTAAGCTTGCTTCTCATTATACTGTTCCTGAAGAAAGTACCCAAGAAGAGTTTCAAATTCAGAAAGATATAGAATCTTATGAACAGCTGGACATGAAGACTGAAAACATAGATTTTTCAAATGAAACAAGGTATGAGGAGAGTAAAGACGATGATATGGACAGCAGTCCATCAACTGGAGATGGATTAAGGGAAGTGGGTCCACAGTATTCGCATGATATGATTGTTGGAGAAGAGGAGGAAGAAGATGAAGCAGATAATATCATGTTAAAAGAAGAGATGCAAGCTGAAAGTGAGAGTCATATGCTGGATGTTTCAGACAGTGAGCTTGTGGTTTCCGACTCTTCATGTGGCTATACTACTAAACATGACGAAGACCAAAGAGATGAGAAGGCAGAAGAATTTTTAGAGGAAGACAACATGGCAACATTTCAAGAAAATAAAGGAGAGGAAAGTGGTAGTGATGACTTGTTCATTAAACATTCATATGAAGTCAGCCAGGAGAGGCAGGTGGACGAGAATGAAAAGCACCATGCTCTTGAAGAGCACGATGGAGATCAAAATGAGGAATTTGGATTTCAGGATGAGAAAGGGTTTAGTTCTCGTATTGATTCAGATATCATGTCCTCAGAATATGAAGATCGTAGCTATGTGGACAATCTGTCTGAGTTGGCATCCCCTGATATCATTCCCCAACCCCTTCCCTCACCTCCAGAACCCAAAGATATGTCACCTTTTGATCCACTGGCACCCTCTGACACTCCATCCCCATGTCATGAACATAATGGAGGAATTGACCAACATGGAGCACCATTTGAATCCACTGGCGTTATTATACCAGAGGAGAATGGTGCTGCTGACTTCCTAACATCTGTCGAAGTGGAGGGAGAAACCAGATTTGGAGTAGATGGAACAGCAGTTACATCTGTGGAAGTGGTGGGAGAAACCAGATTTGGAGTAGATGGAACAGCGGTTACATCTATGGAAGTGGAGGGAGAAACCAGGTTTGGAGTAGATGGAACAGCGGTTACGTCCACTGGAGAAAACCATGCTTTCCTACATTCTGATGAGGAGGATGAGGATGATGATGGTTCCCAAAATCTCGACCAAGGGGGTTTTACAACTACTGGAACTGCTGAAACTGAGACGAGTATTGATGACAGAAGCGCCGATTTTAGCAGTCATGGCTTCGAGCAGGCAGAGGCCAATGACAACGCGCTGATGTCCATGTCCATGGAGGGAAGTTTCTATGATGATGGAGGGGAGCTCATGGGTGGAGATGATAGACGAAATCAACAGCAGACTCATTTGTATGAGGATGGCTACATCACAGAGGAGAGCAGCCAGCACGATAGCTATGAACCTAAACAAGAACACTTTGTGGTTAACCCAGATGAATTTGGACAGAAAGTTCTTAGTGTGCTAGTTCAGGAAAAACCCCAGGCACCACAGGCCGATTCTCATGCAATTCAGGAAAAGGAGGAGGATTTTGATCCTTTACATGGTAGTGGGGCTCCACCTGGTTCCTCTGCAGGAAGTGGTGTTTGTGGTGGTGGCCACATGGGGGATTTTGATTCCTTGCTTGATGTTTCCGCTAATGCCCAAAGTTTTCAGGTGTCCAGTGTGGAACAGGAAGAAAAGGTGGCACATTCTGTAGATAGACAAGACATTGTGAGTCACGAATCAGAATCTCTTGTGGAGTCACAGAGACGCGAAGAACATGAAGCTATTGAAAGCATCGCTTCACAGAGTGTTCACGTTTCTGACACCACGAAAGAGAAGCCTCCTGTAGGAGATGACATACATACTGATAAAGAGAAACAAATAGCTACTGTCCCAGATGCGGCTGCGGCCACTGCTGTTAGTGTTGCAGCGGCAGGAGCTGCTGGAGATGAAGCTGTGATCAAAGCAGCCACAGCTGTGAAAAAGTCCTCAGCCAAACCTGCAGGAAAAACAACAACTACCCCAACAACCACAACCAAAGTCACCAAGGAGACAAAAACAACCAATGGGAAAGCTGCTACTACACCTACGGCATCAAAAGCATCACCAAAGAAACATGCAGAACCCAGACCAACATCTGTGTCTACAACTGAAAGAAAAGCATCCTCAAAAGCTGCAGGATCACCAACACAATCTGCAACGCCTCCGGCAACAAAACCTCCAGCTCCTTTACCATCATATGCTCAGCCAATTCCACACAGAAAACCAAGAGAAGCTAAAATTGCCTCACCGGAAGAGAAAAAGAAAAAGGCGGCTCCTGCGACAGGCATCACTAGAGCTTCCTCGGCTGCACCTCATCCAAGACCTCAGTCTGTGAGTAGCAGCACTGCCCCATCTTCGGCCAGGAGTACAGCTCGATCAGCCAGTACTGTTGCTAGCCGAACTGCCCAGCTGGCTAGACCTAAGTCATCACCAACAAAGCTGACCAATGGTATGTACAGAATTCAGCTGTAGCCGAGTGGTTTTCATGGTAGCATAGTGGCTAGCCACTCTCCTGTTAACCAAAAGGTTTAGGATTCAAATCCCCATCCAGCCATAAAATTTTTTTTTTTCAAAACTGACCTTGATTTCCAGGTAGACCCATTTTAAAATTGATACCAACCAGTGCTGGACTTAATAAACTAATACTAATTAGCTGTGGTTAGGGCTTCATGATCCACAGGGGCCTCAACAAATTCATATTTTTTGTTGTTGCAAATATAATTGCTTAATAGAACCCTTAAGAGGATTATATAACATAATTTCTGTGATTTTACATACACATTTTCCTATATTCCTTTTACTAAAAATTAAACTACAGTAAATTTCCATTATCCATATATTAAAAAATATTGATTGTAACATTTTCTGAGATTAACTGGTGTATTTTTAAATAGTAGGGGCCTCAGGACTTATGTAACTTAGGACCTCATCAAGTCTAAATCAGGCCCTGGTACTAGGTAATGTCATGGGAAATAAAGGCAGTCAGCGTGATGCTGACCACATCACCCATCAAAAACAGACTGGTCAATATAAAAAATATAGCTGTTGCACTAGATGACTGAATAGGACTAGTCTAGCACTGTTTAAGCCGTTTACCGTTTTTTTTTCTTTGTATGTTGGTTCATGCTTATATTTGTGTTCATCATGTTGTGTGGAGGGACCACATGAGGAAGGGAATGAGAATGAAGGAAACAATTACTGCAGAAAGGATAAGAACTGAGCATTTGAGAATAAAAAGACTAAATACAAATGTTGACTACAACGGTTCTAAAATCCCATGCTGTAATTGGGGAAGACTTTTCCTAACGCAGGTGGGTCTTGCAAGTCACACTCACCATGCGCCTCCTCATAACGCAGTATAACACTGTTTGGAAAGACGGAGAGTCGCCAATCATATTTGTGTTTATTTCCCTGGAGTTAGACTTGGAAGTATTAGTAAATAAAGTTCATGCCATCAAATGAACCTCGCTTGATTTACTGACCCATTCAGTTACACCCTGAGACATTTTGAATTTAAACATTGCATGACTTCATCGATTATTCGATTGATTTGTCCCCTCTGTGCTTCTACCTAAAGTTTACCAAAAAGAATCTCAGTCTGCATGGTAAATCAACAAAGCTAATCCCAGATATCCCGTTCAACTTGCAAAGAAGTTAAAAATAACTCCCCCTAACGGTAAACCAGGTGTAACTTGCAGTCCTACAAGGTCCAACAATTAAGAAATAAGACTGATTTTATTATGGCCAAGACAAAAATGCTACATATAAGCAAAATATGGTATCTAAAGAGAGAACATTCATATATGATCTGGCAACTTTTCATCACGTCTTGATAAGTAGACAACAAGCCACCATTTTGTTGACCTAGTCAGAGATGCATTGTTACGTAATCAGCACGGAACAAAAAGCTAACATTAAATTCTTTTTAAAACCCAGAAAAAGTGCCATTAAAACAGTTGAATGGATTCAACAAGTTTATGGGGATAATTATTTATCTCATGCACACATTTTCAGGTGGTATTCACGATTCAAAAATGGTGTAGAAATGATTACTAATGCACCTAGATCTGGTCGCCAAATTTCTGTTCGTTATGATGAACTCATTGCAAAAGTCAAAGAACGGATACAAAAAGATCATTGTTTTACTCTTAAGATGATGGCAGATGAATCTGGTGGTAATAAAGAGACCATTCATAACATTTTAGTGCAAGATTTTGGCAAGAAAAAAGTTGCTTGCCGGTTTGTACCACATTTGTTGTTTGATTACCAAAAACATCAGCGGGTTGAGTACCCAAGAAACATCATCAAAACAAGAATTTTTGGCCCAAAAACAAGTGATGTTCTCAGCCTTCCACTCTATTTCCCAGATGTGTCTCCTTGTGATTGTTTTCCATTCTCAAAATTAAAGTTTCCATTGGAAGGATGCTTTTTTAATGATTTTGATGACATCCAAAGGGCCGTAACATCGACTTTAAGGGTCATAACAACAAAAGAATTACAAAGGTCGTTCCAGTATTTGTTAGATCGTGCCACTTGCTGTATTATTACACAAGGGCTTACTTTGAATAAAATACAGGTTTTATCTTTAACTGTTGATTATTTTAATTTTTATTGAATTAGCCTCATTACTTAATTGTCGGACCTTGTATGTAGCCAATAAATATGATCATAGTAAAAAGTAAAGATCCCTTTTCACACCTTTTGGCGCATCGGGCATATGGGCAGAGCGTCCCATATTTTTACAGACCATCAGCACTCTGTGGGTAATGTGGTCAGCATTACGCCGGCTGTCTTTACTTTCCCAGGACAGCCCATCCTGGTACCCATTTTAAGCTGGGTCGACCTGCGATGTCCCATACCATGACAAAAATCCACGCAGCCTGCAGTGGGTTTCGATAGCGGTATGCTGGCTTACGAGTCGGACTCGCAACGCCTTAGCCACGGACGCCGCAATATGATCATATATTTGAGATAACATGAAAGATATGAGCAAATAAATATGATCAGATATATGAGTTAACATGACAGGTATGAGCAAATAAATATGATCATATATGGAGATAACATGAGAGGTATGAGCAAATAAATATGATCATATATTTGAGATAACATGAGAGGTGTGAGCAAATAAATATGATCAGATATTTGAGACAACATGAGAGGCATAAGCAAATAAATATGATCATATATTTGAAATAACAAGGGGGAATGTTTGCTCTGTTGATCTCGCAGTCCCAAACAAGGCACCATTTGTGGCTGGATTTACTCATATGCACCAGTTAACATGTTATTAAGCTTGTACATTTTATGATTAGTCGAGGCATGCTAAAACACTCAACAACACAGTTGTCTCCCACAGGAATGTGTATTTGGGCCATACTAAAACACTCAACAACACAGTTGTCTCCCACAGGGATGTGTATTTGGACCATACTAAAACACTCAACAACACAGTTGTCTTCCACAGGGATGTGTATTTAGGCTGTACTAAAACACTCAACAACACAGTTGTCTTCCACAGGGATGTGTATTTAGGCTGTACTAAAACACTCAACAACACAGTTGTCTTCCACAGGGATGTGTATTTAGGCTGTACTAAAACACTCAACAACACAGTTGTCTTCCACAGGGATGTGTATTTAGGCTGTACTAAAACACTCAACAACACAGTTGTCTTCCACAGGGATGTGTATTTAGGCTGTACTAAAACACTCAACAACACAGTTGTCTCCCACAGGAATGTGTATTTAGGCTGTACTAAAACACTCAACAACACAGTTGTCTTCCACAGGGATGTGTATTTAGGCTGTACTAAAACACTCAACAACACAGTTGTCTTCCACAGGGATGTGTATTTAGGCTGTACTAAAACACTCAACAACACAGTTGTCTTCCACAGGAATGTGTATTTAGGCTGTACTAAAACACTCAACAACACAGTTGTCTTCCACAGGGATGTGTATTTGGACCATACTAAAACACTCAACAACACAGTTGTCTCCCACAGGAATGTGTATTTGGACCATACTAAAACACTCAACAACATAGTTGTCTTCCACAGGGATGTGTATTTAGGCTGTACTAAAACACTCAACAACACAGTTGTCTTCCACAGGGATGTGTATTTGGGCCATACTAAAACACTCAACAACATAGTTGTCTCCTCTAGGGGTGTGTATTTGGACCGTACTAAAACACTCAACAACATAGTTGTCTCCTCTAGGGATGTGTATTTGGACCATACTAAAACACTCAACAACATAGTTGTCTTCCACAGGGATGTGTATTTGGACCGTACTAAAACACTCAACAACACAGTTGTCTCCCACAGGGATGTGTATTTGGACCATACTAAAACACTCAACAACACAGTTGTCTCCCACAGGGATGTGTATTTGGACCATACTAAAACACTCAACAACACAGTTGTCTCCCACAGGGATGTGTATTTAGGCTGTACTAAAACACTCAACAACACAGTTGTCTCCCACAGGGATGTGTATTTAGGCTGTACTAAAACACTCAACAACATAGTTGTCTCCCACAGGAATGTGTATTTGGACCATACTAAAACACTCAACAACACAGTTGTCTCCCACAGGGATGTGTATTTGGACCATACTAAAACACTCAACAACACAGTTGTCTCCCACAGGGATGTGTATTTGGACACCGTACTAAAACACTCAACAACACAGTTGTCTCCCACAGGGATGTGTATTTGGGCCATAATAATACACTCAACAACACAGTTGTCTCCCACAGGGATGTGTATTTGGACCGTACTAAAACACTCAACAACACTGTTGTCTCCCACAGGGATGTGTATTTGGACACCGTACTAAAACACTCAACAACACTGTTGTCTCCCACAGGGATGTGTATTTGGGCCCTGCGGGAGTAGTATGCCTACTATTTTATTGATTTCACAATTGACTGACTGGGGCATCAACCTTCTGGGTTTTAAAAAGTCAATAATAATGGGGTGGGGGGGGGGGGGGGGCTCAGTATACCTAAGACCTCCCAGGTTCTGGTGGTTATACAAGTGAGAGACATCTACTTCCCATTGACACAAACTGTTTCTTGTAAATGGTGCAAGATATGGAGATGTACCACAAATGAGAAATTCTGGCAAGAAGAAAGTGAAAATAAATTACAACAAAAGGGAAAGCAAGTAATCAATCTAGAGGTTACATGGAGAAATGTTTGAAAATAAGATTAAATATATATCTTGGTTTGTTTTTTTAAAGTGTTTTGTCTTATTTTGTGGCCATTGTAATTTAGTGACAATTTTCACATACTTTCTGTCCTTGAATGTTTTACTCAGAATCATCATCATCATCATCAAGTGCCAGGTCTGCGATTTTCAACAGCAAAATGTGCAAGTATCACGGACTAGCTGTAAACCCCAAAGTAACATGCTAATCGACCTTTTAAGAGAAAATACGGAAGACAAAAAGAAAAATAAGAAGACATTTTTTATTTTTAAAAATTATAATCTTTTTTTAAAATTTTATTTGTTATTCACAGGAATAGCTTCCCCTTCTGCTGATGGTTTCAAATCTCCAACGGTAAGTTCAGGTTCAAGTAACATAAACCGTTCAATAAAACAATTTTGTTAAGGGTTGCAAGATAGTTATAAACGATATAGCTATAAGTATTAATTATCTTCTTGTTGGTGTCACATGCTGTAGTTAGTTGACATTTGTGTTGTTGTTTTCCTTTTGTCTGGGCAGCTACCTGAAGGTTTGACACCCTGAGATTTTGTGGGGATGGCAGACTTACGAGATGAATACAGATAACCTGTTCAACCTCCACAGAAGTTTTAACTGGAGCACCTGTGACAGTTACATTAAGCTAAAGAAGCCTGCAGTCTTAGGGGGGGGGGGGGGTTGAGTGAGAGGGGGCTTGTAAGGATGTAAACATTGAATGCATTTTGGTGCAGTAGATTGGTTTATGTCCCTGGTGATATCACATAGTGCAGTAGATTGGTTTATGTCCCTGGTGATATCACATAGTGCAGTAGATTGGTTTATGTCCCTGGTGATATCACATAGTGCTGTAGATTGGTTTATGTCCCTGGTGATATCACATAGTGCAGTAGATTGGTTTATGTCCCTGGTGATATCACATAGTGCAGTAGATTGGTTTATGTCCCTGGTGATATCACATAGTGCAGTAGATTGGTTTGTGTCCCTGGTGATATCACATAGTGCAGTAGATTGGTTTATGTCCCTGGTGATATCACATAGTGCAGTAGAATGGTTTATGTCCCTGGTGATATCACATGGTGCAGTAGATTGGTTTGTGTCCCTGGTGATATCACATGGTGCAGTAGATTGGTTTATGTCTATGGTGATGTCACTTGGTGCAATAGATTGATGTTTGTCCCTGGTGATGTAAAAACTAATTTTACAAAACTTGGTGCACAGGATTGATGTATGTCTTTGGTGATATCACTTGGTGCACTGGATTGATGTATGTCTTTGGTGATGTCATTTGGTGCACTAGATTGATGTTTGTCCCTGGTGATGTCACTTGGTGCACTAGATTTTAGTGTGTCCCTGGTGATGTCACTTGGTGCAATAGATTGATGTTTGTCCCTGGTGATGTCACTTGGTGCAATAGATTGATGTATGTCCCTGGTGATGTCACTTGGTGCAATAGATTGATGTTTGTCCCTGGTGATGTCACTTGGGGCAATAGATTGATGTTTGTCCCTGGTGATGTCACTTGGTGCACTGGATTGATGTGTGTCCCTGGTGATGTTACTTGGTGCAATAGATTGATATGTGTCCCTGGTGATGTTACTTGGTGCAATAGATTGATGTATGTCCCTGGTGATGTCACTTGGGGCAATAGATTGATGTATGTCCCTGGTGATGTCACTTGGGGCAATAGATTGATGTATTTCCCTGGTAATGTCACTTGGTGCAGCAGATTGATCTAAGTCCCTGGTAATGTGTTACTTAGTGCAGTAGACTGATCTATGTCTCTGTTGATGCGACTTAGTGCAGTAGATTGGTGTATGTCCCGGGTGATGTTATGCCACTGCAGAAGTCACCTGGTAAAGTAGATTTATTTATGTGGTCACTGCAGATGTCACTTAGTAAAGTAGTTTAATATATGTCCCTTGTGAAGTCACTTTGTGCAGTAGATTGATGTATGTCCCTGCTGATGTCACTTGGTGAAATAGATTGATTTATGTATGTCACTTCACATTGTTAAATTTGTGTTAGAAGAAGTTTGAGAGAGTATAATAATTCTGCAATCAAAATATTTCAGCAGTAAATTTTTTTTACATTTTGTTGCAGATATTGATGTTTCAGTGATAATTAAGTATTTTGCTATCTTGTTTCCTAGATCATAAAAACTCAATTCTGCTAAAAAAAAATGTTTCCTTTTCTACCAAACATGTTTCAATAGTATAAGTGTGTGTGATCAATTCTGGTTTTCTTGCAGTATGATAGTTGTGAACACATGCACACGTGCCCACACACACACGCAGATCTTACATCCACTCATCTATTCCTTTGGTCAACAAATACACTCAACAACCCTTCTCTCATCCAACCATCTTTATTACAAAATTTCTGTGTACACAAAAAAGATAGTTTGAGTAGACCAAGAGGCAGATCAAGAAGACAGCGAAAAGATAATATACGCGCAGTATGATAGTTGTGAATGTTCATGTTGAGTGATGATACATAATTTTTATATTTTGCAGTTATGTCAAATTTTCTCATTCTGTGATAGTTTTGAATTATCAAATTCTTTACTGATCCATCCAGGCATCCATTTTGTGATCTTGCTAATCTTTGTCAACTCCAAATTGTTGTAGGCCAAGCATGAAACTGACTCTAAGAAAGATGAACACAGGTCTAGAAGTGGAAGAAAGGAACATAAGACCACATCTAAGGTGGATTCTGGAATCAAAAGTGCAACAACTCCCACTTCAGGTAAATAGAGAGATGGTCAGTGACATGGAGAATGGTGTCGCTAATTATTCAGTCTAATAAACAGACTTTAAAAGGTCATGTTGGGAAAAAAAAAGTCTGACTTGATGCGGACTTGAACCTATTATCTTTGGCTTACTTGCGAGCATCTAGTTTTTATGTCCTGGCAGCACCCATGCTTTCATCTTTGTAAATTTAAAAATGCAGACGTGAATCAAATAACAGAGAATGTATTGCTAAGCAATGTACGTGTAAATAATTGCAAAATATTTATATATATGGCAGACTGTGTAAGGTGATCTCAGATGTGGCAAATTTCTGTTGTGGAGAACAATTTGTTAATCCATAGCAATTTTTCTTGTTTAAACTCTTGTCTTGAAAAGAAGCATTTGTGATAATATCTATTTCTTGGGTCTCCGGTGAGTTCTTCTTATCAGGTCTGCACTGTATGAACACATGCACATACGCCCGCACACACACGCAGATCTTACATCCACTCATCTATTCCTTTGGTCAACAAATACACTCAACAACCCTTCTCTCATCCAACCATCTTTATTACAAAATTTCTATGTACACAAAAAAGATGGTTTGAGTAGACTAAGAGGCCGATCAAGAAGACAGTGAAAAGATAATATACGCGCAGACTGGAAAGAGAAGACCAGTCGAAGAAATGATGGAGGCGGGGGATATTTGCAGCAGTGAACCTTTAGGGCTCTAACTGCTGAAGAAGAAGATCAAAGGTTCTCCTACGTTTTATATTAATAATTTGATATCTTTATCTGTTTTTCCCATCTTTTTCTGCATTGCTGACTAAATAGATGTTTGAAACCGTTTCTTGAAGTTTCACCAAGGAAGATTTTGTTATTAATCAGCCTTCTTTGTATTTTCCTTATGTAGTTAAAGTTTAAACAACAATATCTGGTTCAATCTCTTTGGTTTATTACTGAGATGTAGAGTTTTATATTTCAAGTATTAGGTATTTATGATTGTCAGTTATGTTTGGTTCTTTAATATTGCATAGATAATGTATTATTGGAACAGACTGTAGGGTTATAGTCTGCTCAGTTGTATTTATTTTGTGTACTTTTTAAATTAAAATGATAATCATAGTAATAATTATAACTTTGGGAATGTCTAAAGTGATCTAGATTAAGGTTATTCTTCCTTAAAATAAATTACTGTCTCACATGCAGGCCTTTGTTCAAGTGATCTACTATTTAATCACACATTTTCTGCAGCAAGTCTTTTCCTAATGAATTTGTGTCTTTAATTTTGTGTGTGTGTTAGCATCTGTAGCTTAAGCATTGCAAACGAGCTTCATAATGCTGGGGTGCTGGGTTCGATCCCAGCTGCGGACGGTTTGTCTTGCGTTGGTTTCAACAGTGATACTGAGAGCTGACCCTTCAGAAGCAATGGCAAACTACTAAATGTAAAATTTGCCTAGAAAAAACACAACATCCAAACAATGCTGGAGCTGGTTCTGCAATGTCCTGTAAAGGATACACAATTAAAATATTAAAATGTTATTTCTGCTAAAAATTACAGTTAGAATATTTCTGCTGTAATTTTTAGGTAGTGTTAATAATCATAGACTGAAAAAATTAACTGAGGTTATTTCTGCCAAAAGTTTTAGGTTGTGTGAATAATGATGCATTGAAAAATAACAGATTATTTCTACTGTAAGTTTTTAATAGTGTGAATAATGTTAGATTTAAAAAAATTAACTGAGATTATTTCTGCCATAAGTTTTAGGTGGTGTGAATAATGTAAGGTTACAAAAATTACAGAATAATTCTACTTAAGTTTTAGGTGGTGTGAGTAATGAATGCTAGATTGAAAAATAACAGAATATTTCTACTGTAAGTTTGTGGAAGTGTGAAACAATTTTTGTTTGAAAAATAACAGATTATTTCTACTGTAAGTTTTTGGTAGTGTGAATAATGTTAGACTAAAAAAAAAAAGAACTGAGATTATTTCTGCGGTAACTTTTAGGTATTGTGAACAATTTGATTTATGTGTTAAATGTAAGTAAAACATGAACATACTAGTCTGTTTTGTTACTTGTTATTAGAATATGAAGACTGTGATTTTTGTTTCAAGTTGAAGATATCATGTGATACAAATATACTTGGTATTGTAAATCGTAAGATAAATGTGATCAGTATGAGATGTTTGTTCTACAGTTGCTGCCAAGTCTCCAACTAAACAAGCCTCCCCTCTCACCTTAGCCTCCCCAAAGACGGGAGAGATAAAATCAAAGGTTGGTTCCTTGGAAAATGCCACACATACACCTGGTGGTGGACATGTAAGTTTATCCATTTGCTCATCCATCCATGAATCCATGCATGCATCCATCCATCCATACTTGCATAAGTCAATGTAAGCATCCATCAGTCTATACATGTGTGAATCCATCCATGCATTCATCCATCTGTCCATCCATCCAGTCATCTATATTTGCACAAATCAATCTATCCAATACGTGCACAAATCCTCCAGCCAGCCATCCATCGATCCATACATCTATATCTACAGGAATATGTGCATCCATCCACCTGTCTGTACATCCATCCATCTATACCTACAGGAATATGTGCATCCATCCACCTGTCTGTACATCCATCCACCTATACCTACAGGAATACGTGCATCCATCCACCTGTCTGTACATCCATCCATCTATACCTACAGGAATATGTGCATCCATCTATACCTACAGGAATATGTGCATCCATCCACCTGTCTGTACATCCATCCATCTATACCTACAGGAATATGTGCATCCATCCACCTGTCTGTACATCCATCCATTTATACCTACAGGAATATGTGCATCCATCCACCAGTCTATACATCCATCCATCTATACCTAGAGGAATATGTGCATCCATCTATACCTACAGGAATATGTGCATCCATCCACCTGTCTGTACATCCATCCATCTATACCTATATGTGCATCCATCCACCTGTCTGTACATCCATCCATCTATACCTACAGGAATATGTGCATCCATCCACCTGTCTGTACATCCATCCATCTATACCTACAGGAATATGTGCATCCATCCACCTGTCTGTACATCCATCCATCTATACCTACAGGAATATATGCATCCATCCACCTGTCTGTACATCCATCCATCTATACCTACAGGAATATGTGCATCCATCCACCTGTTTGTACATCCATCCATCTATACCTACAGGAATATGTGCATCCATCCACCTGTCTGTGCATCCATCCACCTGTCTGTACATCCATCCACCTGTCTATACATCCATCCACCTGTCTGTACATCCATCCATCTATATCTACAGGAATATGTGCATCCATCCACCTGTTTGTACATCCATCCACCTCTCTGTACATCCATCCACCTGTCTGTACATCAATCCACCTGTCTGTACATCCATCCACCTGTCTGTACATCCATCCATCTATACCTACAGGAATATGTGACCTGTCTATACATACATGAATCAGTGCATTCATTTATTCATCTATAAATAAATGAATCCCTACATAATTCCATTCATCCATCTATCCGTACATGAATTCATCCATCCATCTATCCATACATGGATCCATCTATCCATCTATCTGTACATGCTTAAACTATCCATCATCCATCCTTCCATTATTACATACATGAATCCATCCATCCATCTATCCGTACATGAATCCATCCATCCATCTATTCATACATGAATTTATCCATCCATCTATCCGTACATGAATCCATCCATCCATCTATCTGTACACACATAAGCTATCCATCATCCATCCTTCCATCATTACATGCATGAATCCATCCATTCATCCTCTGTAAATGCATGAATTCATACATCCGTCTATACATAAATCCACTCATCAATACTTTTTTCTAAACAGTAATGTCCTTTAAAAAATAAAAGGCATATTTGTTCCGGCTGGCACAAAAAGCTTTACATTTTTAATGTAGCTGAAAATTCTGCATTGTTATACATTGCAAAATCTGATACCATTTATGTCTGAAATATAAAGATCATCTAAATATCTTACATTCTGAGATCAGTTTGTTTGGCTTTGGGTGTTTAAATCAGGCATGTCAAACTGTTGGTTCCCTAGGGGTTTTGTTTTGTTGGTTTGCTTATCTTTCAAGTGACCTTGTCTCTGACTGATTTCACTGTCATCTGATTCAGGTGAAGATTATAAACAAGAAGCCGAAGTACTCAAATGTCTCCAGCAAGATCGGCTCCAAGGACAACATGGACTATAAACCAGGTGGGTTTTCTTAACAGCGTTGATCAGGAGAGCTTAACTCCCCAACATTTCTCTCCATACATATCATTTTTTAGTTTTCTCCATAGATATCATTGTTCAGTTTTCTCCATAGATATCATTGTTCAGTTTTCTCTATAGATATCATTGTTCAGTTTTCTCTATAGATATCATTGTTTAGTTTTCTCCATAGATATCATTGTTCAGTTTTCTCTATAGATATCATTGTTTAGTTTTCTCCATAGATATCATTGTTCAGTTTTCTCCATAGATATCATTGTTCAGTTTTCTCTATAGATATCATTGTTCAGTTTTCTCCATAGATATCATTGTTCAGTTTTCTCTATAGATATCATTGTTCAGTTTTCTCTATAGATATCATTGTTCAGTTTTCTCTAAAGATATCATTGTTCAGTTTTCTCTATAGATATCATTGTTTAGTTTTCTCTATAGATATCATTGTTTAGTTTTCTCTATAGATATCATTGTTTAGTTTTCTCCATAGATATCATTGTTTAGTTTTCTCCATAGATATCATTGTTTAGTTTTCTCTATAGATATCATTGTTTAGTTTTCTCCATAGATATCATTGTTTAGTTTTCTCTATAGATATCATTGTTTAGTTTTCTCTATAGATACCATTGTTCAGTTTTCTCCATAGATATCATTGTTTAGTTTTCTCTATAGATATCATTTTTTAGTTTTCTCTATAGATATCATTGTTTAGTTTTCTCCATAGATATCATTGTTTAGTTTTCTCTATAGATATCATTTTTTTAGTTTTCTCTATAGATATCATTGTTTAGTTTTCTCCATAGATATCATTGTTTAGTTTTCTCTATAGATATCATTGTTCAGTTTTCTCCATAGATATCATTGTTTAGTTTTCTCCATAGATATCATTGTTTAGTTTTCTCTATAGATATCATTGTTCAGTTTTCTCCATAGATATCATTGTTCAGTTTTCTCCATAGATATCATTGTTTAGTTTTCTCCATAGATATCATTGTTTAGTTTCCACATTCCCTTTGTGTTTTCCTAGGCTGCATTTGAAGAAAAGGGGGGGGGGGGTATAAAAGAAAAGACCGACTGCCTCCCTGACAAGCATGTTGTACAAGGTGACTGACTAGGAGTTTCTTTCAAAGTCGGAATGCATCTGCATGAGAGGTGAGGAACCAGCAGTCTGCATACAAATAAGCCAGATCTGTAAAACAAATTGTACATACAAAACTCAAGTTCTGGAGCAAGACCAAAGTCCATAAGTAAATGAACAGCCAGAATACAACTAACATTTTCTCAGCAGACGTCAGTTTCCACATATGGACAAACTCTGTTTGTAAGCAAGGACAGGTAATTTTAGTTTCAACAGCTTTTTTAATGGTATAGAGGTGTCAGCATATGAGCTTATATATACGCAGGTGAGGCTCGCAGACTGTGAATAGGCATGATCACCCATGCCAGTTGGCAAGACACTTGATGATGATGATGATGGTGAGAGGAGGGTTGATGAGTCTATTTATAGGTTGAGGGAGAAAGATCTTACATGTTGAGGGAGAAAGATCTTACATGCTGAGGGAGAAAGATCTTACATGCTGAGGGAGAAAGATCTTACATGTTGAGGGAGAAAGACTTTACATGCTGAGGGAGAAAGATCTTACATGCTGAGGGAGAAAGATCTTACATGCTGAGGGAGAAAGATCTTACATGCTGAGGGAGAAAGATCTTACATGCTGAGGGAGAAAGACCTTACATGCTGAGGGAGAAAGACCTTACATGCTGAGGGAGAAAGATCTTACATGCTGAGGGAGAAAGACCTTACATGCTGAGGGAGAAAGATCTTACATGCTGAGGGAGAAAGATCTTACATGCTGAGGGAGAAAGATCTTACATGCTGATGGAGAAAGATTGTACATGCTGAGGGAGAAAGATCTTACATGCTGAGGGAGAAAGATCTTACATGCTGAGGGAGAAAGATCTTACATGCTGAGGGAGAAAGATCTTACATGCTGAGGGAGGAAGATCTTACATGCTGATGGAGAAAGATTGTACATGCTGAGGGAGAAAGATCTTACATGCTGAGGGAGAAAGATCTTACATGCTGAGGGAGAAAGATCTTACATGCTGAGGGAGAAAGATCTTACATGCTGAGGGAGAAAGATCTTACATGCTGATGGAGAAAGATCTTACATGCTGAGGTAGAAAGACCTTACATGCTGAGGGAGAAAGATCTTACATGCTGAGGGAGAAAGATCTTACATGCTGAGGGAGAAAGATCTTACATGCTGAGAGAGAAGGATCTTACATGCTGAGGAAGAAAGATCTTACATGCTGAGGAAGAAAGATCTTACATGCTGAGGAAGAAAGATCTTACATGCTGAGGAAGAAAGATCTTACATGCTGAGGAAGAAATACTTTACATGCTGATAGAGAAAGATCTTACATGCTGAGGAAGAAAGATCTTACATGCTGAGGAAGAAATACTTTACATGCTGATAGAGAAAGATCTTACATGCTGAGGAAGAAATACTTTACATGCTGATAGAGAAAGGTCCTACATGTTGTGGGAGAAGAATCTTGAATGCTGAGGGAGAAAAGTGTTTCATGCTGAGAGGGAAAGATCGTACATGCTGAAGGAGAAAGATCTTACATACTGATGGAGAAAGGTCTTACATGCTGAGGGAGAAATGTCTTACATGCTGATGGAGAAAGATTGTACATGCTGAGGGAGAAAGATCTTACATGCTGAGGGAGAAAGATCTTACATGCTGAGGGAGAAAGATCTTACATGCTGAGGGAGAAAGATCTTACATGCTGAGGGAGAAAGATCTTACATGCTGATGGAGAAAGATCTTACATGCTGAGGGAGAAAGATCTTACATGCTGAGGAAGAAAGATCTTACATGCTGAGGAAGAAATACTTTACATGCTGAGAGAGAAAGATCTTACATGCTGAGGAAGAAAGATCTTACATGCTGAGGAAGAAATACTTTACATGCTGATAGAGAAAGGTCCTACATGTTGTGGGAGAAGAATCTTGAATGCTGAGGGAGAAAAGTGTTTCATGCTGAGAGGGAAAGATCGTACATGCTGAAGGAGAAAGATCTTACATACTGATGGAGAAAGGTCTTACATGCTGAGGGAGAAATGTCTTACATGCTGATGGAGAAAGATTGTACATGCTGAGGGAGAAAGATCTTACATGCTGAGGGAGAAAGATCTTACATGCTGAGAGAGAAAGATCTTACATGCTGAGGAAGAAAGATCTTACATGCTGAGGAAGAAAGATCTTACATGCTGAGGAAGAAAGATCTTACATGCTGAGGAAGAAAGATCTTACATGCTGAGGAAGAAATACTTTACATGCTGAGAGAGAAAGATCTTACATGCTGAGGAAGAAAGATCTTACATGCTGAGGAAGAAATACTTTACATGCTGATAGAGAAAGGTCCTACATGTTGTGGGAGAAGAATCTTGAATGCTGAGGGAGAAAAGTGTTTCATGCTGAGAGGGAAAGATCGTACATGCTGAAGGAGAAAGATCTTACATACTGATGGAGAAAGGTCTTACATGCTGAGGGAGAAATGTCTTACATGCTGATGGAGAAAGATTGTACATGCTGAGGGAGAAAGATCTTACATGCTGAGGGAGAAAGATCTTACATGCTGAGAGAGAAAGATCTTACATGCTGAGGAAGAAAGATCTTACATGCTGAGGAAGAAAGATCTTACATGCTGAGGAAGAAAGATCTTACATGCTGAGGAAGAAAGATCTTACATGCTGAGGAAGAAATACTTTACATGCTGAGAGAGAAAGATCTTACATGCTGAGGAAGAAAGATCTTACATGCTGAGGAAGAAATACTTTACATGCTGATAGAGAAAGGTCCTACATGTTGTGGGAGAAGAATCTTGAATGCTGAGGGAGAAAAGTGTTTCATGCTGAGAGGGAAAGATCGTACATGCTGAAGGAGAAAGATCTTACATACTGATGGAGAAAGGTCTTACATGCTGAGGGAGAAATGTCTTACATGCTGAGGGAGAAAGATCCTACAATCTGTGGGAGAAAGGTCTTGTGGAGGTCGTACCTGATTATTGAGATGGGAGCCTCACTACAGAATACAAAGACATCATAGATTCATTGCAGCCATCTTCCCGCCAACAGTCAAAGCAAAAATTCTTTTGAGTTTCTGTTGTGTTTTTGTTAGTTTCAAGCCCCTGAATGCTGTAAACAAAATGGATCATAAAATCATGGGAATTTCTGAAAAGCCTTTAGAGACAACTATTTGCCACAAGTAACTAATAAATTGTTTAAACATTTTTTTCTCTACATTTTTAAACATGTTTGTTTCAAAATATTTAATGATTATGTAAAGGAATCAATCAATAAACAAGAACAAATCAAACAAGCATTAAATGGAGTACATTCCCCCTGCCCTAAAACAAATATGTATCAGGTGACTCATGCCACAACCACTTGACCTCCATCATTGAGGCTTGCAAGAATACTTTAAGTCAACCTGGCTTTAAAAATGCTATTGGATTTACAAGGAAACCCTTCTAAATGCTGTATTTAGTTAAAATATTCACATCTAGGCCTCCTAAAAACTACATAGTCACTCAAAGAACCTATGGCATTTATCTAGTTTTCGAAAAAGGTTACTGCAGAAGTAGCGATATATCGGCATTTGTGGGTGTGTGTCAGAGGTGGCTAGATCTAGCATTTTTTGGAGTGACAGGGTTAACTTACATTTGTAGCCTTTATTCTTCTGCCTTTCTTTATTGACTGCCACCAGTAATTTTTTTTTTTTTATAAACTATTATTAGTTGTAATTTTAATTGTGTTTTAATTATAAAGGTGGTGGTAATGTGAAAATTGAGAACAGAAAAATCAAGGTTGAGGCCAAATCTAAGGTTGGATCACTTGAAAATGCAACTCATAAGCCAGGAGGAGGTGACAAAAAGGTAATGCCAAGTTTTTTTAAAACTTCACATGTTGCCTGCTTGCACTGTTGTATCAATTATACATAAACTGTACAGTCAGATAAGCAGCTATTATTGGTCGGTATTCCCTGCACTGACCTGGCAACATTCTGAGCCTTTCTAGTCATATATATTTTGTTTTGCTCTTGCTTTCTCTAATTCCAGGAACTGATGGTATCATTCATGCAGTAAGGTTCTTTTAGACTTCATTTACTAGAACAGATCTTGTGGTTCTGATCATGCAACAGTAGAGTCTGCACCTTTAGGCATATTAGACATATGGATCTAGATCTAGATATCTTTTTGTAGACCAAATGGCACTCGAGGGTGATGTGGTCTTTACTTCCCATGACTTTACCTGGTACCCATTTGAGACTGTGTCAATCTGGGAGCCACGCTCATTTTTTTTTTAAGTTTGGCTCCATTCCAGTTTGAATCCATGATCTTTCGATCTGTAGGCGAGAGGCTAGCAACTTGACCATGGCAGCTGTTAACTTTAGAACTAGTTTTTTTGTTGTTGACATCATTGATCAAGACATTCTGCACAGCGTCATTTTTAGCATCCAAATCACTGCTCCTTTTCCAAAGGGAAAAGCATTCAATTTCTTTCTTCTTTCTGTACCTTCAGACATCCACCTAAGGTTTCTGTCTTTAAAAAATTATTAGTAATATATCACTAAAGAATGTAAATTATTTGACAACCTGCCCCCCCCCCCTTTCCCACCCCCGCCGCCTTTTGAAATAAAAATATAAAAATTCAAAATTCTTGCCATGTATCTTATGCACCCTTCTTGCCTGTAAACTGACAAAGTGTAAATGCTTTAACTGATGTAAATGTTTGGTCTGAAGCCATACTTGCATGTCTTATGTGTACATATTTATCTGCTGTTCTGTGCATTATCAACAGTACATTTTTTTAAACCATCTGCACATGTTAACAAACGTATGCATGACATGTAGGCTTGGGGTATTCTCCTTTTAATGCTTTTCGCTTTGTTTATAAATACGCTCTTAAAAATATAATTTGAAATACAGTGTTTGCGCATTAATTTACACACTGTGCTTTATTTTCAGTACATGACTGTAGTTCACAATTTGGAAGCATTTTTTTTTAAATATAAATTTAAACAAAATTTTTAAATAAAGAAAAACTGAATTTTACATTACTGCTGGAATTTTCCAGATTGATTTGCAAAGTGATGATACTTTTTCTGCTACTGCGTTCACCATTAGAGGGACAGTTGTCTTGTTGTTTTGTGGTTTACAGCCACTCTGCAATAGGTGCATCTTTTGGTGCCACACATCTTTTCCAACAAATGTCTAATTAGTTACATTACGATAAGTAAAAGGTTTGTGAGAACCAAGTGATGAATGGGAATCTGCCACTATGATCAGACTGCAAGAACAGCAAATTAAAAAGAGTGTGGCCGAACAAGAGAACTATGCCGGAAGCCAAAGAAGAACACTAAACCAACACAGAACTGATGTCCTTGGTAGCTACACTGCAGCTAGAGTCACTGAGCACTTATGGTCTCACTGGTTTGAGGTGTAAGGATGATCTGCCCTACATACGGATTACCTGAAACTGAAAGAGCTAGCAAGTCTGTGTGTTTTCTACTCTGTATATGCAGTGTGTAGCAATTTTATTTTGATCATTCTAATCTGAACGCCTAGGTTCTTTGTTTCAGTTATGCATAAAAAGTCTAGTTTTTATACCCACACAAGCAAATATATACATGTGAGTGTGTGTGTATGTGAGAGTGTGGGGGGGGGGGGGAGGGGGAGGGGTTGGTCTGTGAGTGAGTGATTGATTGATTGATTGATTTGCTGTGTGAGAAGCTCATGGGCTTTTAAATGTGAAGCAAGATTCTGGTGGTGTAGCCCTGACCACAAGTAGTCTGACTTTGAAGGTCGTGTCTGTGTTTAAAGCCATGCCCTGGCTGGAAACATACACCTCTTCCCATGCATGCTTTCTCAGTGACTCCGTGTGTATGCTCAAGAACTTAGAGATGGGCTGGGTCTAAAGACTGTGGTTGGAGTCTCTGAATCAGTGTGGGCTGATAAATATCAGTTTCATATTCGTGCCAGGTCACATAGGCAGGCAAGGAAATGAGCAAGCTGATAGGTTTGCAGATAAAGCTACTATGGAGGGTGAATGTACCATGGACCAAGCTGATAGGTTTGCAGATAAAGCTACTATGGAGGGCGAATGGGCCATGGAACCAAGCTGATAGGTTTGCAGATAAAGCTACTATGGAGGGCGAATGTGCCATAGAACCAAGCTGATAGGTTTGCAGATAAAGCTACTATGGAGGGCGAATGGGCCATGGAACCAAGCTGATAGGTTTGCAGATAAAGCTACTATGGAGAGCGAATGTACCATGATCCAAGCTGATAGGTTTGCAGATAAATCTACTATGGAGGGCGAATGTGCCATGGAACCAAGCTGATAGGTTTGCAGATAAAGCTACTATGGAGGGCGAATGTGCCATGGAACCAAGCTGATATTCTGAAGGCCAGACAAGAGCACTATGCAGGAAACCAAAAAAGGAAAAAACCAACACAGAACTTGTGTCATCAGCCGCTACAAATGGATTTCCTGAGGATTGGGATCGAAGCACTTATGGACTGAATAGCTCGATCTGCAGTGAGGACAATCTTCAACTAAGTAACTAGTAAATACTAGTAACTATACAATTTGATTATCGTTATCAGTTCACCACATAATCATATAGATTTTCTCCACCTGTTTTATTGTTGTTTTTTATTGTTACTGTCTGCCAACCTTAGATAGAAAACCGTAAACTTGAGTGGCAAGTTGAGGCAAAGATTGGCTCCTTAGAAAATACCAAGCACACCCCAGGTGGGGGGGATAAGAAGGTAATGGATGTCACTAGACACACCTAGTGACTACATCGTAGTTCTGCTCGTGCCCATAGATCAGGAAAACATTAGATTATGTACTGAATGAGTGGTTATAGCATTAGATGCCTTGTTTGTTGTAGGATTTCATGTTTCGTGGTGGTGATCTCGGTCAACTTTGGGTATTTGGGCCATACTCTTTCACTCCTAAGCAACACAAAGTGAGTTATTGGATATTCTCTATGCACCTCAGACATAGCGTCAAGTGTTTTCTTTCTTTAAAGTTTAGGTCACAACATACCTAAGAAATGTGGCTTCTATTTGATTCACATTCCTACAACACAGAAGTGAATTTGCTTGTTTTCTCAGAACCATTTTATCACAGAATGCTGTCTAGGACATTCTAATGTGCTGGGTAATGAACAGTTTGATAGATTGACTGTTGCTACTCCTCTGGGTGGTGAGCTACTTTTTGATAAAGCAGATACGGTGAAAGCTATATGGGATCAAGTGGACAGTGCAACAGCACAGACACAGTATCCGTAACTTGAAAGATTAATTATTTGGGGGAAGAGGTGGGGGGAGGGTGGGGTAAATAGTAGGTTAAGCAGGGGTTCTAGACAATATTCAACGCTGAAGAGACAACAGACATACTTTTTTAATCAGATTGCAACTGGCACTATTAGCTTGGGGAAGGAGACAGAGCATGTGTGGGAGTGTCCCAAGTGTACTGATTTCAATTCTTTGTTCATTCATTTATCGATACAATCACAAAATGAAGATTTATGTGCACAAGCTTTTGAACCGAAAGAGTTGACTGATACATTACTCTGAAGCAGTCTTTGTCATTACTTCACAAATGAGGATAATGTCGGGAAGGGTTACGTTAGTTACACTGAGAAGGAAGGTGAATTGATGTATGACAAGCTAGATGTTGTGAGGGCCCTTTAGGAGAGAGTGGACATTGATGAGGCACAAATAGATCATTACAGTCTGAGGAGAATGGGGCTGCGAGAAGCTACCAGGAAATCTGGCCAACGCTCAACGGAAGGGCAAGATGGATGTACAAGCAGACAGTTACTAGTACCATCTGATTTGGAACTCTGTTTGCTGCTGAAGATCGGGATGGAGCGTATATTGTAGTGTCCCGAGTGGTATGATGTTTATTCTGCCAACTATAGCTGCATCTTTCAGCCCGATGCTTCCAATTTCAACAAATGCCTCATCTGTTGCCTTTCACATTATGCTTTTTATTTTTAAGAAGCTGTGGCCCTATTCATTTTCCCCCAAAATGGGACCTACAACTCACATCTTAAACTCAAATTCAATGGCTTAAATAGTTTTTTTTTCCCATTGGTTTCACTCTCCACTTAGTTCATGACCTAATGTGTATTTCTATGGTTAGATTACAATTATGAACAGACTGATATCACACTGTTTTTAGTTTTTGGCCGTTCAATATTTTGTTTCTTAAAATAAAATTGCTGTATTCACATTTTAGATGTATCACAACTTGTGTTTCCTTTTTTTAAAAGTTTTGCAGCCGTAGTTCCTTGCCGTGTCATACTACAGTGTGTAGTTGCAGCCTTTTATCTGTCCATTCTATCAGTTTGTTTTGCTTGTTTGCCATAACCATTCAGTGTCATCAACATAAGGCAGATTTTTTTAATACTGTGTCCTTAAATGTTATAAAATTTTATACGGCTTAACAAAGTGTCACTTTAAAAAAAAAAAATTGTATGCCTGCAACCTGACTAAAAGACCATGATACAAATTTGGTGTGTTGTTTGACAAACATAGTTCATTGAAAACTTGTACTTAGACTATGCTGGGTTTAAAAAAAAAAAAAACTTGTTCAACCCCAGATGGTTTATGTCAACATTAAGTTAAGTTAGTTGCATATCCTTTACAGGACATTGCAGAACTGACCCCAGCGCTTTTTTGTTTTTGTGCTGTGTTATTTTTCTAGGCAAGTTTACGTCCAGTAGTTTGTCATTGTTTTCTGTATGGTCGGCTTCTTGATACAACTGTTAAAACCAATACAAGGTATAAGGCCTGCAGCTGGGATCAAACCCGGCACCTCTGCATTACGAAATGCGTTCGCAACACCTAAGCCACAGATGCTGTATTTACCACTTTTGCCAAGGCAGGAGGGCCTTGGAGTGTGATGATTTAGGGTGGCGTGGCTAGGTCTCTTGCCATGTAGGCAGGAGGGCCTTTGAATGTGATCATTTAGAGTGGTGTGGCTAGGTCTCTTGCCATGTAGGCAGGAGGGCCTTTGAGTGTGATGATTTAGAGTGGTGTGGCTAGGGTTGTATTTTTGCTCTCAACAGAAAAAAACCCATATTTGGTCTCCAGTATGACAGTCCATCATTCTTGAGCATTCAGCCAGCTGGTCCTTTCAAATGGTCACTGCTGAAGCTCAAGGAGGCATATAACCACTAAGAAATGTAGCAGATGTGTTACTTTTAAACAAGTGGACATGATGATATAGAAAGCCAAATTTCTTTATTTAACACTGACCAAATATTCAGAGAAGAGAAGACATTCTGTGTTGGTTAAGATTCACAGTGGGTATTTTCTGGGTGCAGTGAGATCAATGCTTGACTCATTCATTCATTATTCATTCATTGATTGTGGTTTTTGTGTGCGTGACTCAGAGTGAAGAGTCAGTAACACATCAGTCATTGCCAGCAGCTGAAAGTTAAACACAAACGAGGAGAGAAGGGCCCATGTTTGCCAGCAGCTGAAAGTTAAACACAAACGAGGAGAGAATGGCCCATGTTTGCCAGCAGCTGAAAGTTAAACACAAACGAGGAGAGAATGGCCCATGTTTGCCAGCAGGAATGACACCACATTCACAATTAACCTCTCTCTTTCTGTTTTTTTTTTTTCCCAGTTCTACAGAATTATTTTATGACTCGTGATATGTCGGTCCCAGGCACTGTTTTACTACACCACTATCTGTACTCTAAAGTAACAGTCTTTATGTTTTGAAAGTTTACAGCCTGTGAATTCTAAGAAGAAGAAGATTTCCCCTTCCACCCTCTGCCCAGCCCGCTATATTAAGTATAAAATTGTATTTTGATATTGTTTCATTATCTTTTCTTCTACTTATCATTCACTGGATGTAAAATCTGGTGGAAAGTTCTGGCTGTTCATCCACTTCTGGACTTGAGTTTTGATCCAGAACTTGAGTTTTTCATGTACATCCATTTTACAAATATATATATATATATATTTACATGCAGACTGTTGGTTTATTGCCTCTCAGGCAGATGTGTTGTTACTTCCAAGGAAACACCCTTAATTAGTCACCTTGTATCACAGGCTTGTTAGAGGGCAGTGGCTCTGTTCCCACCCCCACCCCACCTTTTACAATGCGGCTCCGGAACCCACACAGGAAGTTGTTTTTTAACTCTTAGTAACCACAGTAGTGGCAAAATGCTCACCTGCTAGCCTGAAGGTTTTGATTTAAAATCTACCAGGTAATGTCCTCGGAAGTAAAGGCTATAGGTAACCTTTACTGTGTAGTCGGCACCTGATTGAGTTACTGGCCATTCATATAGTTCATGATACACTGTGTACAAGCTCGAGAAGTACAGTGATCTGGCAGCTGGTCTTAGGAGTGACGAGGGGTACACAGGAAAACTCTTAGCCTTTGAGGTGGGCACAAGAGGGCTAGTAGCCAGCTCTGCCTACAATGTCCTGAAGCAGGTTGACTTATGAGGAAATGAGCATAAAAGGGCACTGAGGCAGATGGGAGTAGCGGTGGAGACAGCCTCAAGCTGACTCTGGAGTAACAGAATAGACGTGGGGGAAAGGCCTCGGTAGATTTTTCCGAGTCCCTAGTGGAAAAGAACTTCGCAGTCTCCGAAAGTTTGTTCTATTAATGTCTGCCCTTGCAACTGCCAACCTTTAAAGTCTGTCCGATCAATGTCTGTAGCCTTTTAATTAGCTGTTGATGATTTACTTCATATGTAAACTTTAATTATGTGTAATAATAATTCTTTCTGTGATTGTTAGAGATAATGTGTGATGTAAAATCACTGTTTTTCGCTGATAATTTAAAAACAAAAAAGAATTTCTGCTAAGAATTAAAAAAAAAAAATTTTTTTAAACAAAATGCACACTTTGTTTAAATCACCACAAATCAGTGGCATCGTGAAACTGCAAGGCTGGGGCATATAGAGGGAAATGCTGTTAACAGAGAGACAAGAACTGCATACACAAAAAGAGCTGAATGAAAGTAGACCATGAGGCAGACCAAGATGATCGTAGACAGATAATAATTTACCAATTAGTAAGAGAAGGCCAATTATAGAGTGGAGGCTGACAATATCTGTAGCAATGAATCTGAAGGGACCTGGAATGCTAAAGAAAAAGAAAATCATTATCAATTTTTGATTTTTTTAAATGAAGGATTAATTTAATAGATGTAGAAATATTCATTTAATAGTAAATTGAATGGAGTAAGAAAATGAAGAAACATGCCAGGAAGTAGAAATTAATGCGATTTTAAGCAAATGTCACAGAAAGAAAAATAAGCAACAGAAACAAACTGTATATTTATTTTACAGATCAAATATTTGTTGCATGCTTTATTATAAAATCTTCATTGTATAAAATTTGACAAACATAGAGAATGTTAAGAAGTGAAAAATTTGAAGCAGAGAGACAAAGATGGCACACACAAAGCAAGACTTATAAGGCAGAAAAATTACATTTCAGTGGGGGGAAAAAATAAGAAAAGAGGGTATTAGTCTCAGATTGTTATTTTTGTTATGGCTGAATTGCTTTTTATTCACTTTATGTTGCACAGGTTTGCCATATTTTACAGATTGCATTGCTTTATACATAAACATTACAGCAAACAACTTGTACCATGCTAATTTATATCATTTTTCTTTGCTATTTCCTGTGTTTGTTTCCTCTGGAATTTAAAATTCCCACCTAAAAATATACATTTTTATTTTGTTTCAAGTTTTACATAATAATAATTTGTAAGAGTTCTCCACCCCTTAATCCTGTTAGTAAAGATGCACTTACTTGTTTGCTTATTATATATATTTGGTCTTTAAAAAAAATTTTTTATTTATGTTTGTTAAACTAAACCATATTATTAAGTGCTACCTTCATCTCATTCATCATCACCGTCATTAGATTGAGGTCCAGAAGACAGAGTGGAAGGCACAGTCAAAAATCGGCTCATTAGAAAATGCAAAACACAAGCCAGGTGTCGGGGACAAACAGGTGAGGCGCAGGATTTCAGACAACTTTATGATGTAAACACAACTGAAATTATAAGTGGAATAAAATGGCATTAACTTTCATAAAATTTCCTCTTCTTCTGCTTTGCGTTCACTGGCTTTAAACTCCGGCAGAAAGTTCTGGTTGTTTGTCCACATCGATTTTGTTTTGTTCCAGAATCTGAGTTTTAAATGCTCATCTGTTTTACAGATTTGACTTATTTGTATGCAGACTGGTGGTTCCTTGCCTCTCAGACAGATGCACTCCAGTCTTGAAGGGAGCTCCTAGTTAGTCGACAATTACAACACCCATGTTGGGGAAGCAGTGGGTCTGTCCTTGTTTTTCCTTAAATGGGGCCCGGAATCCAGACAGGGATTATACAATTTAAAATATTTGATTGTAATGTGCAGCACTTTACTTTTGTCCATTATTTATGCGAGTGATGCTTCTCGGGCTGTGATATTTTTTCTTGAATGCTGCAAAACCGCCTAAAGCCTTAGCTTTATTTTTGTTTGCAGGCAGTTTTGCTGCTTAGGTCAACAGATTACATCAGCTGCTATGTCTTGTTTACCCATTATTATTTGTTGTGTGCGTTCCGTATAATTATTGTTTGAATTACTGCCATTGCTGCTTTTGTTAATAGAATTGTAAACAAACAAAATAAATATGGCAAAACTTTTAGATGTTAAGGAACTGTAAACTGGTTTGAGCTGCTTAGGGTCATATTTTTCAGGATGGAGATGGGTAAAAGATGAAGCTGCAAAAGCAAGGTGGAAGTGAAAAAAAAAATTTAGAGAAAGAAGAGTTAACGAAGTTAAAAACCAAAGGAAAATTTGTTGTAGGAGAAGGTGGATCAACTAGGAGATAGTGATTTATCTTGACATTCAATATACAAGGCACAAGACAGATGGACTTTTATGAGGTTGCAGCTAATGGTGAATGGGCAAGAGGTTACACTGCTAGACTTTCAAGCGAGAGACCTGGGTTTAATTCCGAGCTAAGGTTGGGGATTTTTTTTAAATGTAGAAGGCAAAAATAAAATCCTAACCCCTGCACATTCCATGACAGCACAAACCATGTGGCCTTAAATCCTCAAGACCAGAGACCCCCCTGTCTACAACGTAGAAGTGATGCAAACTCTTTATTGGCTACTAGGGAAAGGAACAGAGCATAAATGGGAATTTCCTAAGTGTAGAGTTTTCAGTTGTTGATTCATTCATTGGTCTGATCATGTTTACCTTTCATTTGTATACACAGAAATAAACAGCTGGGGAAACCTTGAGGTCTTAGAAATATTTTACAAAAGAAAGAAACAAATATGTATTGATTGGCAATCATAGAAAGAAGTAGTTTAAATATTGAAGGACACACTAGACAACATAAAAATAGTGTCCATTCGGGGAATCAGACCTGTCATCTCCAAATGATAACAGTATCTTGCTGCAGGAGCAAGTGTACTAAGACACATACATGACCAAAAAGTCCCTCTCCCCCCCCTCCCCTTCCCCCTCTTCCCATTTGTATAGTTTGGGCATGATTGCTGGTATCTAAAATGTTTCTCTGCAGACTAACGGCACTGATGGCGAAGATAAGATGTTAAAGAATGGTCTTGTAGACACCAGTGGACCAGCTGGTGTTAGTGATCATGGAGCTGTAAGTAGTACCTGCCTTTTGTTGATAAGTGGATCTGTGACAGTACAGAGGTTCTATTTTAGCTTTCCAACACAATGGTCCTGGTTTCATTTCCATTAGTGTTATCCCTGTGGGTTCTGGGGTCCCATTGTGGTAAAAGCAAGAATAGACCCACTGCCTCTCCAACAAGCATGTCATAAGAGTTGACTTACTAAGGGTTTTCTTCAAAGTCAGAGTGTATCTGCCTGAGAGGCAAGAAACCAACAGTCTGCACACAAATAAGTTAGATTTGTAAAATGGATGTGCATGCAACACTCAAGTTCTGGAACAAGACCAAAGTCTAGAGATGGACGAACAACCTGAACTTTCTGCCGGAGTTTATAGCCAGTGAACGCAAAGAAGAAGATTTTCATTATTGCAAGAGTTTATTTCCCAGCAGGCAAAGATCTGCAGTCTATCTTCTTCTTCTTAGCATTCTCCAGCTGTAAACTTTGGTAAAAAATCCTGGTTGTTTGTCCACCTCTGGAATTTGGTTTTGTTTCAGAGCTTGAGTTTCTCTGTGCAAATTTATTTTACAGATCTGGCTTATTTATTTGCAGACTGTTGATTATGCTTGTGGGGGAAAAGGGGGGTGGGGGGGGAGGCAGTGGGTCTATTTTTTTTGTTCTCCAAAATGGGGGGAGGCTTGGGTTCAAATTTGCACTGAATAGGACTTTTTTTAATGGACCTAGTTTCCTAGGTCAACCCACTCTAAAATAGGTACCAAGAAATGTGACTATATCACCAATGAGTGTTGACTCGTCTAAGAAAATATGGTTAAGCGCTATATGCCAGATTGGCCAATTTTTTTTGAAAAATATTTTTTAAAAGAGGTCCTTTACTTAAATACTTACTTACCTTTTTTTTTCCCTAAATATAATATTTTCCCATGTATAAGATACACCTTGATTTCGGGACCAAAAATTTGAAAAAATATAATTGTCAGTATAAAAAAAATTTTAATATTTTTTTTGCTTGTATCATTATGATATTGGAAGCAAGTGGCAGCTATTAAAATGGGAAAAAGAATGGGCACATAGGAACAGATCAAACAAGGAGTAAGACAGGGATGTGTTTTGTCACCTGACCTCTTCTCTGTCTATAGTGAGATGATATTGAGAGTGATCAAAGATAAATAAGGAAAATAAAGCAATAAGGAAAAGACGGCACTGTTCTTTGGTCATGTGATGAGGAAAGAGGCTTTGGAGAATAGTGTGACAACTGGAAAGATCAATGGTAGATGAGGGAGAGGAAGACAAAGAGATATGGTGACGGATGGACTGCAACGGTGTCATGAAGTAATATTGTCAGTGGAACTGATCCAGAGAATGAGGGACAGAGATCTGTGGTGATACATTAACGCCTACCCCAGTCGACAGGGCACGCAATGATTATGACAGTGTATCATTATGAAACCCACATTAGATCAGTGCTCTGGCATTAAAATAGTATGGTACTATTGCTGATAGTGCGAAGAGTGAGGTGTAAAATAAATGAAGCACTGAGTCGTCATACCTCGTAAATATGACCCTGCATATGCAAATGTATTCAGTCAGGTTCACACTGTACCTGAACTTTCAGACTTTCCAGTTCTGAGGGGCTAAGTTCACTCCACTGGTTGACAGAACAGGAAACAACTGCTGTGACAGCCCATGCTTCTGAAGTTACTTAACAAGGAATATAAAACATGATTGTCAAGGACCTTGTATCAATCCTACTGAACTACGGCTCATTATACGGCCCCATGACAGACACACTATCCTAGGACAAACTTAAAACACACACCTACGGAGTACACACATAATCTTGAATGTGCAAAGCGTAATTCAACCTGAAGCCTCAACAGTTATAAACAGTCCCTAATCTGAAACGCCAGCGGTGATAGCTTTTATAATCACTAATCCACCCCGAGCCGTTCCCATGGATGTACCAAAGGACTCGATTCCAACTCACTGCACCTTGCCACGCGAGACTCAGTGACACACGCAGGGTGAGTGATCCAAGTATGAGTAGGCAGTATTCACGCCACCACCAAGCACAACTAAACTATATTTACCCATAGACATGAACAACTACCTACTCATGACACAACACCAACACGACTGTCCGTAGAATACTATAAGCACATGAGAAATACTAACAGCTAACCAAAACACATTATGACAATGCTAACAGTCCCTATCTTTCAACTCCTAACACAATACAACCTATAACGTCTCTCTATGCCTTCAGCCTCACACGTCCATGTCCAAAGCTCTTCCTCTCTCCCCGTTCAGCTTCGGGTAAAACATGTATGTAGTACCAGTGTTCAAGCCATCCCGGGTTTTCGCCATATTGTGAATTTAGCTGGGTGACCGCTGGTGCACCTCTTGGTCCGTCAAACAAAAACTTAAGACGTCACAAGTCTTATCATCTATACTCTGTCCCATACCCTTCCCACAAGGCTATGACAATGATGGTGATTATGATAAGTGTGGTATTTTAGGGTATTATTTTTTTTTTTTCTTTAAATAATGATTCCAATTTTTTATAATTTATTGACTCTTGTTTGTTTATGTATGCTAAACCTCAGATATTTTTTCTTTGTATCTCAGACCGAGCTGCTTAATGGATCTGCATCAGAGATTTGAACCCATTTCACCCTGGAATCTGTAGCTAGTTCGTAGCCACAGCAGTCACTTCAGATGTCATCAAATCTCCTGCAAACGTTTCTTCTACATCAAACTCCTGGTGTACACACATTATAGCCTGCAGATTGTCATCGGCTGGAGAATGACTTTTGAAAGTGATAGTTATTAATGTTTGCAAATCACAAACATATTTGCAGTTTGGCTTTTCCTTCTGGATTAAGTTATTATTTATTGATCTGCTGTAGCATTTCTCGAATTTGTTATGAGTATTTTGTGTTGTGTTTTTATTTAACACACTCATCAGACACAGGTAATCAAGAGAATAATTAAATATGCTTTTTAAAGTCAAAATTTAAAGGAAAGTTTGGTGGAAAAACAAACAAACAGAAAACAGACAAAATAGGACCAGCATTGTGACCTGGGAAGGAATCTGATGTGAAATTTTTAGGAAAAATAAATGTTAAATTAGAACTTGTATTTTTTTTTTAAACAAATGCAGTATCACAGACACTGATAAATCACACTCTAACACTCAGAGAAGAAAGGACTGATCCTTTTCAGTTATGATGGACAAACAATGACATTAGAGACAAGAAATTAAGGACAAAAATCACTGAGGTACAAAGTTAAATTATTTTTTAAAAGGTACAGTGAAAAAACTCATTACATTCATGATAAAATAGACGGTGAAGACATTTTTTACAAAGTAAAAAAATAGAACTAACCTTATCAATTTAAAAATAAATTATCACTGAAGAATTAAAATTTTAAGAAGAAAATTAAGTAACATTTTAAGGGGAAAAGTTTGATGACAAATTCATCATTAAAATTATATACAATCGTTAGTAAATTATAATGTTCCTTTTATTTCAGTCCTTTATAGTTTCGTTACTTTCGTGGGAAAGACAGATCACTTGTGTTATTGCAGCTACAGGGTGTTTGTGTGTAGAGCAAATGTGAAAAACAAGGTACCTGACATCATCAAAAAAGTCAATCATGAAGAAATATGCAGTGAATGGCTGTCTCCTGCTGGAGTCAATTAAAATTGTTGCACTCAAAACAGTATGGTGTTATCAAGTGAAGCAATCAGAATTACCATTCAAGAAATAATAACACATGTTGCAGAATGTATCTGACAATATGAAGAGACGTGCACAGTCATGTATTGAAACCTGTGTGGACATTACCAACACCTGTTATAATGAATATTTCATTAGTACTTTCCAGCTTCCCCCAAAACAGCTTTTCACCATTGCAGTAACCTTTGTAACTAATTTATTGACCTTTTTAGCAAATTCGTTATTGACGTCATGTACTTGGATTTTTCACATTTGTTTATACAAAGTGTTGTGAGACTTTACAAACACCCTATACCTCTATTGATTTACAATATTCTTCTCATTTTGAAGGTTTGAAGGGCTGGAAAATGAAAGGTTCTTGAATGTTTAATCTGCTCCTCATTTGGTATGCTTTGAAATGTCTGCAGATTTATCACTCAGACATACTTCAAAAAGCGGCAGGGATTAGGGGGAGGGGGAAATAGCTCAGAGACTATCCATAAAGTCTTTGTGCAGTTAAAACTTTATTAACTTTCTGTTTCCAGACATATGGTTCCTAAATTCCTTATTTCTTATTCAGTAATTTCAAAAGTTTGTAGTTAAGGTTTCATCATCACTGAAGCCAGGTTTACCCCAAACTTGCTCTGTTCTCGGGCCAGCGAAAATCACATGAAATATCCCTTGCTGTCTCAATTGAAAAACTGGTGGACAAACAGTTAGTTATGGCAGAATCCACAAATATGCGCACACAGTAAATGCATAAGACAGTTGCTAAAGGCACCGAATAAGTAAGTGAGCTCTTTGAGTCCCAGGGGGTTTTGATTCACAGGCCCAAGGGGTAGTGAAGAGAGTCGTAAAATCGGCGCATCATACGATCATTGGGCCTCTAGGTAGGAATCTATGAATGTATGATGCGTTCCTTGGGACTCAAAGAGTTAAAGACCCTTTTCATGCCACTGGTGATAGACCTATATTCTTATAGACCAACCAGGACTCAATTTGTGATGAAGTCAACATCCCAAGGCTGCCTTGACTTCCCATGACATTATCTAGCACCCATTTTAGTCTGGGTTGACCTGGGAGCCAAGGAGCGAAAAAATGTGACTCGATGTGGATTTGAACCCAAGCCCTTAAAACTGACAGGCAGGAATCTAGCAGTTCTGCTACTGCAGCTCCCAAAGAAATACAAATAATAACGCTGTGAGATAAAAGGAGCTTAGTTAAAAAGTGGGTAGAACTTCTAACAAGAGAAATTGTAAAAAGAGTGATTGAGGAGAAAAGACGTCCAAGAAAAACCTTAAGGCGAATGTTGATGAGAGAGGCCAAAGGTGCTGGATGGAATTC